GCCTCAGGGCTGTGTTTTAAGCCCCCTGCTGTACTCACTGTACACTTATGACTGTGTAGTCACATCAGACACCACCTCCATTGTCACTTTTGCTGACGACACTGCTGTTGGGGGCCTGATCTCCGACAACATCGAGACGGCCTACCTGGAGGAGATTAGGAACCTGGAGACCTGGTGCCAGGAGAATAACCTCCTCCTAAACATCAGCAAGACTAAGGAGCTGATCATGGACTTCACTACAAAGCAGGCGAGGAATTACAAACCCCTCATCATCAGTGGCACGCCAGTGGAGAGAGTGGACAGTTTCCGATACCTGGGTGTCCACATCACTCAGGACCTGTCATGGTCCTGTCCTGTCATATCAACACCCTGGTTAAGAAAGCCCGTCAGCGTCTCTTCTTCCTCAGAAGACTTAGAGACTTCCATCTGCCACTGAAGGCGCTCAAGAACTTCTACTCCTGCACCATCGAGAGCGTCCTGACGGCAAACATCTGCACCTGGTTTGGGAACAGCACCAAGCAGGACAGACGAGATCTGCAAAGAGTGGTGCGCTCAGCCAAACACATCATTCAATCAGAGCTCCCTGACCTGCTGTCCATCTACACCAAGCGACCAAAGCTAAGAAGATTATGATGGACCTCTCCCATCCCAACAATGGACTCTTCTCACTGTTGAGGTCTGGGAAGCGCCTCCGCTCCCTTAAGGCCAAAACAGAGAGAATGAGGAGGAGCTTCTTCCCCCAGGCTATTCGGGCCCTGAACCAGGTGTAGGACTGAACTCTCCCACACACGTCCCTATAAGACTGGACTCTCACACACATCACATCACCACACGCACCACCACACATTTCCTATAATCCTATAATTCCTATAATTTATAATCTTTATAATCTTTATAATCTCTTCTGCTATTTGCACATTCTTTACTGTAAATTCCCAAGTTAATTTGTAAATTTTGTAGTAACCTCTAAATTGTAAATATTGTAAAACCTTTTTTTCTGTCATTTAATTAATGGTCGGGCATTGTACAGCTACAAGCATTTCACCCCCACGTCATACTGTGTATGGTTGTGTGTGTGTGACAAATAAAATTTTAATTTTAATTTTGAATTTATTAAATATCTCTTCTTGCTTAACAGTTGTTTTCATTTTGTTGTTTCACAGATATTTCAGAGGAAGCTTTTATCACTTTTATTCAAAGTGCCTCGCTCTACTCTGAGAGCATGAACGCTCTCAGCCTGTATACATGGCTCCTGTGGGAATTGAACCCCTCACCCTGGCAGTCATACAGTAGCACCCATTTAAGATCAGTGCTATCACTGCCAGAGAGTGGGGTTAAATTCCCACGGGGCCCCACACCTGCCACTCTTTAAAAATGCATGCTCTTAAGGCACTTTGGATGAAAGCACCCTCCAAATGGCGGCTGTAGGTAATGAAAATTTTTCAAAAAATTCTCAGCTAAAACTGATATATAGAGTGTTGGAAATGAGCGGCGCAGATATAGAGCTGCTATTCTGTGGCAGCCGACTGCGGTATTGTCAGCGGTGATAATATTTTCTGTGAGCTGAAGATAGCTTCTCCCTCAGCACGCCTGAGGGGAGGTTAAGCCTCATAGCTAGTGGCCTGTGAACCAGAGAATGGGAACTCCTGTGTGTGTGTGTGGGTCTGTGTGTGTCTGTGTGTGTTTGCGTAGATGGAAGCTAGTGAGAGGAATTGGAGGTTGTGAAAGGGAGAAGAAAAGTTGTAGCAAGAGAAGGAAAAGAGATTTGTGTCCTTTCACTCATATCTGTTTCATAGATAGATGCATAGATGGATACAGGGTGATTTAATGGGAACTAATGCGACAAATGCACTATTTTCTTTCTACTTGATCACCTCATCTCACCGTCTTTATTTTCCCCTCCATCTTGATTCCACCCGTCTCTCCCTCTTTCATTTATTTTCCTGCTCCACACCTTTCCTTCTCCTCCCCCTCCTCTCCATCTCATCCATCAATCCATTCATCCATCTCTCCTGATCGGCCCTCAGCCCACAGAGAGAGAGCAAGAGAGAGTTAGCATCAGGATTATTTGTCTCCCTTACTATGCTGTCATATCTCTCCCTGACCCCCTCTCTCTCTTTCCCCCCTCCCTCATTATCTTTTATCTCGCCCCACCTCTCCTACCCTCTACCTCCAAGCATCCATAACTCCTCCTGATGGGGTCCAGTGCCCCAGAGACACAGGTTCTCTCCACACCTCCTCCTCCCTCTACATTACCAACCTTTCCTCCATCCATTCCTCACTAGTCTCTTGCTAATTTTCACCTCTGCCATTCTTCTCCATACACAGTACCTCCCTGTTTTTAGTCTCAATCAAGTGACAACCCTCCTACTCATTTCCTCCTCCTTCCCCCCATTTTTCTTTCCTCTATCTATCCTTTTCTACCTGTCAATTCAGGTTGATTTCCTTTTTTCCCTCCTTTATGCTTGCTCACCCCTCCTTTAGCTCTTTTCTTCCCTCGTCTTCCTTTAATTTTCACATTTAAACTTTCTCACCCTTTTCCCCACTTACTCCCCCTTCCCATTCCTGCTCTCTCTTCATCCTCGTATCTTTCCGCCCCTGCCTGTATCTCTTTCTCATATTCATCCTTTGGAACAGGATAAATATGAAGAAGGAACAGATCTCTTTCCTTTCTCATTCCATTTCACCTTTTTTCTGTCTCATTTGGTTTCTTTCTTCTCACCTTTCCTTTCCCCCCCCCTTTTCATTTACACTCTTCAGTCTCTCCCTATTGCTTTTTTAATATTTTCTTTTATCTTTCCTTTCTTCCTCTGCCCCCTTCCCTCAACCGTGATCCTCAGCCATCGATTTTCTACTTGTTCATCTTTCATGTACTTTCTTGTACCTTTTTACCTTCACTCCCTGTCCTCCCCTTACCATACTTCTGTTCTTCTCTTCTTCCTCCCTGATTTTTCTCTTTTCATTTCTTTCACTTTTCTATCCTCTTTTTTATCTACTCCATCCTCTCATTTCTTCATTCCCTGTCCCACATTCATCCTCCTCTCCTTTTCTCCCTTTTTTACACTTCTCCAGAGGACATGATGAATGCAGAGGTTATTGAACGGTAGAAATAATGAAATAAAATGGAACAGAAACCCACCCAGAACAAAACACATTTTCTCATTTTCTTCCAGTAAAAGTTATGAATTTTTTATGTTTCAATCTTCCTCTTTAATGAAATAGTTTTTTTAGAGGCGACACGTCATACATTTTCATAACAGGAATTTGGGCTGACATTTTCAATATGTTGTTTCGTATGGCGTGTGCTGCGTACATAATGGATTCATGAGCACCTGAGTGTGTGTTTGCATCACTGCAGGTTGGCATTTACTTGTCAGCTTTTTCCATGCATTTATGCATTTGTTTTGAATACTTATTTATGATTGTGCAAACTGACTAATATTTTAAATCACTTTTTTTTTGTCTTCTCTCCAGTGTTTTAAACAGGACCCCGGTTCATCTCATCTATGAGATCATTCTGGTGGACGACTTCAGTGACGACGGTGAGCTGCAGCTGGACGCACACATTCATATACACACTGCAAATATACACATGCCTGGTTTCTTCCAGGTCAGAGATAACAAAGATGAGACCTACAAAACAGGTCAGAGGGAGGAATGTGTCCACAGCAGCTGGGTCCACAGCTTCAGGATTAAAATGGAGTTTAAAAAAAAGAGAAGAAACTCCGTTCTGGGTCAGAACGGAGTTTCGTTCACAGCGTGAACACTATCTCATCCACAGATGTGCCCAGTCCATCTCCAGAGGTTCAAAAAGTCCTAGTGAACTATATCAAACAAGGTCAAGGTCAAGGTAACTTTATTTATACCCAAAGGCAAGGTAAATTTGCTTTACAGAAAAATGACAGCATTTGGCATCCCTTTAAAAACACACATACCTAGTAAATATATAAAGCTCACTGTGGCACATATATAATAGTTTTGATATTTCGAATCAAAAACAGTTCTTATTTAATTCA